CGCAACTCTGCACAGCGAATCGCGGCGCCTTAGACGACTGGGCCACCGTGCCCCCATACACATCCTTAAATTTCCTTACTCACTGCCTTTACTCAAAATGCCTCATACCAGACACAATATCACAGTATATAGTCTCTGCTCATACATATACTACTCAACGTTTGATAGGGAGAGTCAGATATGCCATTCTATATAAATAACTCAACATATTGTGGGAATCATTTGTGTGTATCGTAGAAACAAAAACATATCTCTCTGAATAGTGGAGTAGTATATATCCACAAGATGACATGAAGACCTTGTATTGTACCAACACTGTTGTGCTGAGTATGCTTTGTATCCATTGTACTTATCACAGAATGTTGTACCATGGTTATTGGATGTTCCAAATAAATATATATACTTGACAAATACATTGATAAACATTGCTACCGATAATGTCAGGAAAGGATCCAGAAGGTTTCATAATCAGACTGATTATCATAATATAATCATTACACCACACAATGTCCCATGGCACAATCTATGGAAACCCATTGGGACCATCAACAAGATACACATGTTTTAGTGATAAAATACTGTAGTTATCTCCACATGTTACTGAGTGAGTGACCCGTGAAGACCCGTCTTCAGCAACCCACGCTTGTCCTTAAAGGCAAAGACTATGCTTGTCCAGACTCGATTATTTACAGACCGCTATCATATAGCTGGAATATTGCTGAGTGCGGCATTAAACAACAACAAACAAACAAACTGAGTGAGTGCAGTAACACTGAATGCCGGAACTACTTTCAGTCAGTTACTGTGGTTTTCAGACCAAGATCCACACTCTAACACAGTGATGATTTAGCATACACCTCTGTCCCTGGCTAATTTGCATACATGCATCATGTGACTGGACCTTTTTCTCTTGTTTGTAAACAAAGGTGCTTATTCTGAATGTATAGCCGCACTGACTAGTGTAAGCCTTTTTGTGTGATTTGCAGATTTTTCACAGCTATAAATGTTTGCTACAAGTATTTTACACATCAAAGTGACTGTATTGCCAGCTAGCGATAATGCTGCCTCAATGACTCCTTGTGTTTATCTAAATGTGAAGACTTTTAAAAAAGGAACAGAAGAAAGACATATGCATTTTGTTGAATGGACTGTGTAAGACGTGATAAATTACTCCATGTCTCGGGCCTGTGGTAGAGGTACTAGGCTGGCTGCAAGAAACTCTGGGTAGGTGCAGGACTAAGATCAGCAGACAAGCAAACATATGGAGGTTATTTGGCTTTTCTTGTCAATAACATGTTTATCATGTTTACATGACAGATATCTGAGTCATACACTCAACTCAACTTTTCAGGTGATTGGATGACATCACCTATTATTTGACAAGATTCATATATATTCATATATAGAAAACTGTTTGCATCTTGAAAATCCAAATTCAAGATATGATGTTGAAATATTTAAGATAAAGATTGAATTTTCAAGATGTGTGAACCACCAGACAAGGGACCTTATGGGTGCGAGTATACAATTGTGCTAAGACATCATAAAGACGTTTGACGTCAACTTACTTCAGTGAAAATTGTCATGTTAAAAGTCAGGAAATGAGTCCAAATGTTTGATGTCATGTATCTCTGTAATAAATATGAATTGAAGCTTGTGAAATGTATTTGTGTTCCAAGGATACTGTAGTCTTAAAATATAATGAGTGAGTGAGTGAGTATGGTTTTACGCCGCTTTTAGCAATATTCTAGCAATATCACGGCGGGGGACACCAGAAATGGCTTCACACATTGTACCCATGTGGGGAATCGAACCCGGGTCTTCAGCGTGACGAGCGAACGCTTAAACCACTAGGCTACCCGTAAAAAACATAAGGTCCCTTAAGGTCATGGTTGGTCACATATGTTGAATTTTCAAGTTACATGTAAGTTTTTAAATGACCCTAATACTCGCTAAAAAGCACCCATAACAAACAAACAAACCAAACAAACAAACAGACAAACATGAGTTTACAAAGTTTCAGCACCCAATATTCAAGTAGTACATGAGAATCTAACAATACACACAGTTTGCCGTAATTTGCTGTAATGATTGTTTGGAAGACTAGAGAACAGTAGCACCACCGAGCTGTAACCATGGTAACATTATGCATAATGTACCAAATTCATGCAGAAGTCACCTGAATGTCATTTACATAAATGATGCAGTTGTTTTTAATTTATGTTTCCATAAACATGATAAACATGCATTTATATCTTTTCACATAGATTCATTGATGAAACAAAATATGGATTGAGTTTGAGCAAGAAAATCATTCATGAAAACAATGACATCCATGATAGTCCAACAGTTAGGTATTGAGACTTGACATGGATGTGTGGTTTATGCATGAAACACTCAGTACCGCCAATGCAGATCAATCACACTCATGCGCTGCATAGAGTGAGTGAGTGAATGTTGTTTTACTCCACAGTCAGCAACATGGCAGCTCTATCATGGTGAGGTGAGGTGAAATGGGGTTTAACGTTGCGTCGAAGATTATTGCACTTATATAGCGACGTGCATGTACGTGTGTGTGTTTGTGTGGCTGCTTGTACTAGTCTGGACTGATGCCGATTTATAGTGCTAGCTCACTAAGATACCATGCCGCAGTTTAACATGAATACCCCACTCAGACACAGTATACGGACTCCGAGCCGACCAGTCCTTGTTTTAGCCCCTTAATGCCGAGCGCCAGACAGGGTAACAACAAGTACCATCTTTTAACGTCTTTTGGTATGACGTGGCCGGGGATCAAACCCCGGAACTTGAAGTAAGTGACGGGCTATTTCCCTGGGTAGCATATATCATATATCATATATCATATACACGTATACTGAATCCTGTGAACATCTGGGTTACAATTGGTTTTCAGCAACCCATGCTTGTAAGAGGTGGCTAAGTGGGTCAGGTGGTCAGGCTCGCTGACTTGGATGATGCATGCCAGTTGCACAAATTTATGCTCATGATGTCAATCACTGTATTGTCTGGTCCAGATTCTATTATTTTCAGACTACTATCACATAGCTGGAATATTGCTGAGTGCGGCGTTAAACAACAAACAAACAAATAAAATTTACTGAAATTCTGATGACTACTTGCACATAAATATGCTTCATGTCTACAGATAAAACCAACCACCTTGCAAAGTCAAGAAAAGGCTGCCAAGAAGAAACTCCAATCTATAACAACACAGCAACTACATGTAGTTATTTAAGGATTAGTCAATATTAAAGGCAATATATTCAAATGAATTCCAAACACACAAGTACAAATTGCAACTGCCTCCCAGGAATAGCAGTTAGCATGTCTGCTTTATAGACTATTGCTTTATTTGCACACAGGGTTTTGATGACACAAAAGTATATCCTGAATTAAATTAATTATAACTGAAATACTTCCTCTTTCATCCACATGATGCATGTGTAGAGTAAGGGAGGCAACTCATGGAGGCTTCATTTTGATAAACCAGAAGTTGTGTGATTGTGCTAAGTCTTAGAGGTGAGGTGAAATGGGGTTTAACGTCGTGTCCAAGATTATTGCACTTTTATAGCTACGTGCATGCATGTGTGTGTGTGTAGTTGCTTGTAGTAGTCCGGCCTGATGGCGATTTAAAGTGCTAGCCCACTGAGATACCATGCCGCAGTTTAACATGAACACCCCCCCGCTCAGACAATGACTCCAACGGACTAGTCCTTGTTTTAGCTCCTTAATGCCGAGCGCCAGACAGGGTAACAACAAGTACCATCTTTTAACGTCTTTTGGTATGATGCGGCCGGGGATTGAACCCTGGACCTTCCACTCTCTGGCCATGTAGTCTTAGAAGGAAGATGACATACACAGGATATATAAAGTAAATAGTTGCTAGGTAGGTAAACAGTTGCTAGGGAAGCAAGTTGACAGGTGAGAGATGTAGAACAAGATAGATGATGCTTGATGCAGCAACTTAGTTGACAGCAGTAATGGAATAGAAAACAGTGTCTGGTTCGATATGTGGGGAAAGTTGGTGTTTACGTACACCATACAGACATTTTCCCCCAAAATAAACTCCTTATACATAATGATGCACATATACGCCAGTAAATCAGGAACCTACGAGAAGGTGACATTCCTGAATTAAATTACTCTGGTCAGATATTACACAAATTGATTATTAGCGACATAATGGGTCACACTGCATCAAATATGCAGGATTCCTACTAGGGCTTGGAAGAGTCCAAATTCATTACCCAGGTACCCATCCCCCTATTATCCCACTCTACCCGGGTACCCATCCCCCTATAATCCCACCCTACCCGGGTACCCATCCCCCTATAATCCCACCCTACCCGGGTACCCATCCCCCTATTATCCCACCCTACCCGGGTACCCATCCCCCTATAATCCCACCCTACCCGGGTACCCATCCCCCTATTATCCCACTCTACCCGGGTACCCATCCCTCTATTATCCCACTCTACCCGGGTACCCATCCCCCTATTATCCCACTCTACCCGGGTACCCATCTCCCTATAATCCCACCCTACCCGGGTACCCATCCCCCTATTATCCCACTCTACCCGGGTACCCATCCCTCTATTATCCCACCCTACCCGGGTACACACTGTAGGTCTCAAGAGATAAGTACAAATTGTCTGATTGGGAATAGTTTGACCTTAACCCAGCAAAATGTTTTTAGATACACATATAAAACGATCTGGTCATGCATACACTGAAGTTGACTGAAGTTTTATCCTTATTCAAGCATATGAAAGTCAGAAGGAATGCATGCATAGTTAGAAAGAAATGGGAACATTAGTGATTTGTTGTGTAACCATAGTGTTCCAGATAAGTTTCGCCATTATACAATATATCACGTGATTAACCATGGGTCCGGGTAGTCCTCTCCAGTACCCACCCGACCCGAGTTACTCATCCCAGCCCTAATTCCTACATCAAATAAAACCAACAAATGTGCTTAGTCATGTTAGTGCAAGGTATGGGAGCAGTATATTTCCTCCTTTTTCTTTTTATAGTTAGCAGTCTTACAATTCCATCATCACATCAAGCCAAGCAAAACAGTCATCAGTTAATCAGGTGAGATGGGGGAGAACAGTGGATACATCATTCTGGAGAGACCGATATGGTTTAACCTAGATGTCAGCATGATTCCAGTAATGTTTAGTTGTTGATAACAAAAAAAAGTTTCACACTGTGGCCATGTGGAACATGTGGCCTGGGCCTTGCAGTGATGGACAAATGATTTGACCATCGTCTAACTTCCACCCCCATAACCCTTCACTGTTAACAGTTAGGACAGAGGATCACCAATGCTCTTGGTGACAAAATATCGCTTAATGCCACAGTAAGTATTACAGCTACATCAATGCATCTTGAAATAATCCAGACTGTGACAGGCATACCAGTGACTGAAAAACCAACAATGAGGCATCAGTGACTGATGCAAAAGCAACAATCCATGTTGTCAGGGCGCCCTGAAATACACAATCACCCAGTCCCGATCAGACAGCTCATATAAAAAGCTTGAGGCACTGTGGACAGACACTGATGTAAGGTGCAGCTCTTAACACTCTCATGGTTACAAAGGCATGTACACGAAGCCTGGCCCTATGGCTGACCAATACAAGCTATCATGACTCCGGATCGTATCATGACTTTTTTGGGAACATCCTCATGAGCAGCACCATCCAGCAGAAAGTGATGATGACGACCACCAGCATCACCCAGATCCACCACGAACACGTCTTGGTGTGAGCCTGAAGTCGCTCGCTCTCCGTCTTCAGCTTACTCAGGTTGGTGTCCGCCAGTCTTGTACTGTCTGTCACTTTCTGGAACAGAAACATAATAATGACTGATTGATTTAGCAGGCCATCAGACCCAAACACAACATATGAAAGAGTGAGTGAGTTCAGTATTACACTGCTGCTATGAACAGTGTTACGTCACAGCATGTACGCTTATAGAGAGTTAAAAGCTCATCCGTAGGTTTGGTTAACTCTGTGAGCATTGGTGTGCAGTTTGGACCATTCATCACTGGATCTTACCAGCAAGGGACAGAACTCTTCACAAGCCTTTGAAGACCAACCAAGACTACTAAATCGTGCTGAGGACATTTACAAATCCAGTGATGCTAGTTCTGACTGACAAGTAGCATTTGATGGCTATAATTTTGAACCAGTTTCCAATGCTTCAATTTTGCTACAAATTGGAACTGAATTTAACTGAAAACATAGTAAACATGTTTGTCTTGTTAAAGCAGGACTAGCATCATACTCTAAAGGACTAATTTTGATGGCTGCCTTGGATCACTGGATCACGTGTGACCCCTTTGGAAGTGTATTGAAGCAAGATCAACAAATGCAGAGTGGTGTCCCTTGATACAGATATATTGATATATATCGCAGAGTTCCGTCTGTAATAATCACTGATCACAAGACAGCAATTTTCGGTCCCTTAATCACTGGATAGCCTTGAACGAACAGGTGATACATGTGTATGTGTACCCAATACTGTTTTGTGATAACAGCTGACCTCTTAATTGGCTGAGTATTACTAATTACTATTATTAATTGCTTTGACCCATAACTTAGCAAGTCTTATGTTTGCAGTTGTTGCTTCTCAAAGCTGCCCAGATCAAGAAGTTGAATTTTCACATTAATGGGACAGATTCTGTACTTAATATTGCGTTAAAACAAGAATCAGTCCTGACTAAGAGTATTTGTAACAGTAATGATAATTACCCTTATGTGTTTGAAGAATATTGAAATAATCAATAAAACAATTAAACCATCATGATGAAGGTAGAATGAATCAAGGTATCAAATACTGACAGGAGGGTTTTTTAGAAATATGAAGTCTTTCAAAGATATACTTTGCTACATGTTCCATAAACGTGATTAGGGCCTGCAGATGTTGGCCTAACTGAAATCACACAATCAAAATATCCCCAATCCCATTTCCTGTAGTTTCACCTTGATGTCATCCAGAACAATCTTGCTGGAAACAGTGACATTATGCTTCAAGCCCTGCGCAATGACCAGCATCTCCTCCGCCAGTTTCTCCTGCATCTGATGATGATGCTGCAGGACGGTGTCAATGTCCTTGTCCTTGGTCTTTTGTCGCTGACGTAAACCAAGCTCGTCATCATCTATTAACACGAAACAGAGTGACCAAACATTTGTTAATGCTTGGAAATGAGATACCATGGCAACAAATTGGAATGGCTATTTTCCAGGAAGAATTTGTGCCATTGTGGTCAAATATAAATACAAGACAACATGTGAAAAATACAGCATTTTCCTACTTGTATTTCTAGCCTTAAACATGTTAAAGTGAACACACAAACTGCAACACAATGATATATCAAATCAGGTTTGTTTTTTTCTCTGTGCACATTTGATTCACCAAGGGAAATAATTTTGTAGAGTAAATCTATGTATGTGACTGTTGTTTAATGCCACAAACAGCAATATTACAGTACATGTTTGCATGGCAATAAACGAGTGCAGTGATTGATAGTATGAGCATATGGGTATGTTTTAACACCATCAACCAAATCACCAAGCCTGACCGCCTGACCACCTGACCGAACTAGTCACCTCTTACAACCAGCATAGGTTGCTGGGGAAAAATTCTAACCTAAATTGTTTGTTTGTTTCCTGTTTAACGCCGCACTCAGCAATATTCAAGCTATATGACGGCAGTCCGTAAATAATCGAGTCTGGGCCAGACAATCCAGTGATTGATAACATGAGCATTGATCCATGCAATACAATGGGATACAATGACATGCATCAACCAAGTCAGAGAGCCTGACCACCCCATCCCGTTAGTCACCTCTTACGACAAGCATAGTCGCCTTTTACGGCAAGCATGGGTTGCTGAAGACCTATTCTACCCCGGATCTTCACGGGTCCTCACCTAATTTGTAACCACTATCATTCACATTCAAACCTGGAATCCCCACAGGTTACATCTATGATCAAAGACTGATAATGAATCATATAACCAAACATGGTATTCACCCACTTTGTGTTTGTCTCAGGTAACAATAATTGTGATCATGGTGGACCATGTGTACTTCTGTTTCTGCTCGATAAACTTCTCTTGCTTGAGTGAGCTAGATGTTTTAGATGTTAAAACTCATTGAAGGGTATGTTAACCTGTTCGTCCTGACCCGAGGAGTTCATCCCTCATCTCCTGCTGGTACATCACTTTGGCCTGCATGTGCAGCTGCTTTCCTGATGTTGATGATGTTGTCCGTGGGACGGACAGAAGATCTGTAGCATGGGCCTTCTCAGAAGCAGTTGGCTGTAACCGGGGAATAGTTCATGGATGACAACACAAACATAACATGACCTTCAAATCATGAACAGAATGAATCCCAGGGATAAAATTTAATCAATCATGAATACTAGCAATAAAGATTAAGAAATGTTCACTCTTGTTTGTTTGAATGTAAAACGAGAAAAACTGGACTTTGGGATGATGCAGGGTTATTTTAGCCTAAAACTAACATTATATAACCTGGTTGACTTAATTTTCTTAGTTACTATAGTTTCTGGCAGTTTATAATATTCAACAAGTATTTGACTTTAACGAGGGATGGTGGGGTCCTTGATGTTGCCTGCCATAGTATTCGTATATAGCATGCCTAGGGTCCCCAAATATCTTTTATCTCTAACAATCTCAAACATTGATGTTATTACCAAAGCAAAACATTCTTATTGTTTTCTACTGTTAACCTATGATCATGATGATCCTTCATCTTGGCGCAACCAGTATGAAAATGATATATCATGATATTGTAGACATACATTTTTTAAACTTTAGAAGAACCTATTTAATAACTCACCATCTTCTCTGCCTCTATGAGACCTTTCAATAATTCTACCTTTTTCGTGTAACCACCAAGAATTTCATCACAAGGTTTACTGAAATCAACAACAAAATACAATCAAATTTTACATTTAAAAATTAGAGAAATACCATTTCTACAATGATTGTGTATAAATTTGTTCTTTTGTAAAATGTTGTTGAATCTGGTAAGTGACTCAAATTTAGCAATAGTGAAACTTAATCGTGTATATGGCATACACTAGTACAACCAGTCCTGTACGTTCCCAACCATATTCTCCTGTTAAGGTTGTCTAGAGAGAGACCATGGTGGATGGAACAGCCAATATTCTCTTGTCACAGGGGGGCACGGGTGGCCCAGTCGTCTAAGGCGCCGCGATTCGCTGTGCAGAGTTGCGTCCCTTGGGCACGCCAGAAACCTATGATTGTGGGTTCGAATCCCGGTTCGCCCCGATTATGTTTCTAGGTTTGTCAGCACCATACCCGTGCTCGTGGGTTTCACCGAAGTGGTAAACATCGGAGACCTGCATCACTTTGGGCTTTCCTCCCACATTAAGCTGACACGCCGCGATATAACTGGAATACTGTTAAAAGCGGCGTTAAACCCAACTCACTCACTCACTCTTGTCACAGAGCACTACATGGGCAGACAGGGCTGTCCACATGGTCACACTTACAGTGCCAACATGGTAGGCCTTGTTGAGGACAGATGCAATTCAATTATATTTTTAAAAAGGAGTCTGGACCATTATCATTCACATTCTTCACTCATCTGTGCTACCCATCCTCCCAATGCCTGATGTCACAGATAAACATGATAAAAACTCAGTATGGTCAGGGCAACAACAACAGCACAACACAGACAGATTCATCGTTTGCCTCAGCACACACCCTACCTGATGTAATCATGGCAATGTAACTGATAGGAGGCACAGTTTATCATGGTTTATCATCTTTAACTTTCAAGCTAAAGCTATGAAAGATATGTCTGAATGATTCATTTAATCAAAGACAAGTCAGCATAGTTGGCAGATATCCAAGTTCAATCAGCAGTGATCAGGACTGAAATTGTTGTTTGTTACAGTACCATGATTATCATGAAAACAAATGTAATTAGTAATAACAATCATGACCATCATGATCAACATCAGCATCATCATAGTCAGCAGGTCAGTGTTTTACATACATATTCTTGATGAGGAAAATATAAAGCTATAATCATGTGATAATCATCAATCAAAATGCCAAATGGGGATTCAGGTTTAGAATACTCCCCAGTAACCTATGCTTGTCATATGACTCAACTGAATGTGTCAGGTGACTTCCATTTACTTGTATGTCATTGTACCCTGACAGCATGGGACACTGCTCATATCAGTCACAGGTTTGTCTGGTCAAAACTTGATAATTTTAGGCTGCTGTGAAAAAGCTGGTATACTGCTGACATTTGTGTTAAAACATAAACATTGATACAAATAATTACATCAACCAACCAAACACATCAACAGTAGTTTGTCTCATAGTCATGGAGGTTGTCAAGCTTAGCGGTTAAAGGGAGAACATTTACAAACTCAATGCCACGTCCACTTGGCCATGTGTGCTGCAACATAAGTGAAACCTACCTTTGTGCTTTTTTCAACTCTGACAACTGATTCTGTAGTGCTCCTATGTACTGAAAAGTATGAATATAATAATAATAATAATAATAATAATAATAATAATAATAATAATAATAATATACTTCAATACCTTTCCAGGAATTTGATGTACATCACGTCAAAACAATGTTGAGACAAAACAACACGTTACAAGTACACACAACACACTAAGGTACACGTATACCATGTATACACTAGCACTAGACATGAACTATGATTGACATTCAAATGAAATAGATGCACAAATAATTAACTGACATAAATTCTAAAACCCAAAATGTTTTGAGATATCGTTTATCTGTTACTGTAGTTTCATAGAAACTACCAACCACTGAAATAGAATAAACAATATTAAAACAGATAACGGTATTACTGGAAGTGGAAAGTACATTTTTCAGGTAACAGCTGATGAAGAAAGAGAGGGTTTGCTTTGATAATCCAAGACTTCTTGAGTTTTAATGCAAATATTATTTTTTAAAATATCAAAAGTATTTTCATACCTTTTCGAGGCGCCAATCTTTTTGCGATTTATCGCTTGCCACGGATTCACATCGGTTTAACAACCTGTTGAAGTTTATTTCCAGCCTGGTAGCCGCCATGTTGGCAATTTTACAACTTTACCTTCGGTGTGAAGAGTTCCATTTCCGGTTGATTCGCTTCCGGGTTAATGGTTCCTCTAGTAACCATAAACAAAAGGGGTGAAAGTCAACACTGAAGGCCCTTACCACCGGAGAATGGCAGGTTTAGCTCAAGCGTTCATTGGCTGACAACCGATCTCAATTGGATCGCAAGTAGATCAATAGACTGCAGTGTCACCACTGGGACCACTATCTACTTTGTAAACAGGTAAACACGTGGGAATTCGAAAGAGAAGTGTGCAGGCATGAAAAAAGAATATGCAATTATAATGCAAGCTTATAAGTTTTATAAAAGCAGATGACCGTATCGAACATGACATTTTTTTCGGTCTGTTATTTTTTTCAAGTGACATATTTTTTATATAGATCTATCTGTATTTTTTAAATGACACTAACAATTTTTTTTATGTAGATCTAATTTTATGATTTTCAGTAAGAAAAACAAGTTAACATTAATTGTTTTTATTAGTCATTATTTGAGAAATATTTCTAAATAATATGTATTGTTCTTAATGAATACTTATCTACAGAAACTTGTTTTCATCTTCTTTCTCAAAATGAAATATGTTATATAAATGTTCAGCTACGCAGTAAATTGTAATCATCATTGATGTTCATATAGTTAATAAAAAAATAAGTTTCTGTTGCATTTTATTCCAGCAGTCATGGCGCCTCCAGTAGTGAACGTTCATGCAGAGCCTGGGACATTTCCACCAACACAGAGTCATCTTGGCCCAAGTAACTTCACTTTCTCTCAAGACCCAGGAGCAATCAAGTCATCAATGTGCAGTGTCTTCAAGAATGATTACCCATCACATCCACATTATGGGAGATTAGAGCAAGCCCAACCACCAAAACTTGGAGATGTCATGCACCAGGATGATCGCTACTTCAGTCAGAATGAATCAGAAACTTCCAAGTGTTTTGAATACCGCTACTTGAAGAAACCTGTCCTGTTGAATCTCCATTCAAAGCTCAGTCAAACAAATTTTAAAATGGATCGGGACACAAATAAATTTAAATGCTTCAGCACAACCCATGATCACTATTTCACTCCTCAGATGGACGAGAACTATGAGAGAGCTAAGCCAGTGCTTAACACCACAGCTGCACATATTCCCCAGGGGGACATGGAGAAAGCAGAAGCCTCAGTGTCAGACTACAGGGGCCGCTTCCTGGGACATGACACTCGGCAACACAAGGTGGAGAAAGCTCCATCAATGCATCACGGTAATATTGACATGTACATACAACAAGCAGTTGTTAGCTCACCTGGCCTGAAAGTCCATATCATCTGTCCATCAGCATTTCCCATAAACGTTATACATTTTTGACTATTGTGGCTTGATGGATTCAGCAGACATTTTGTGTTTCTATGAGGGGGTTTATGTTTGTTCAGGGTATCAAACTTGGAATTTCAATATGGCCACCAGGGAGCCATCTTTGATTTATAACAGAAACTTTTCAAAGATCTTTTTCTTCAAAGGGCCAGAAACTTCACATGCCTGTTCCCACCATGACATCACAATACCACAGCGGCCATATTGAAAAAGCTATTTTTGGCCATTGCTCTGTGATGTTTGTTCAAAATGTAATGAGTTTTGGAATTTTGTTTTTTGTTGTGGGATTCAGAACATATGCTCCACGTGTTTTTTGCAATGCTTTACATTCATATTTTGCTCTGTAAAATTCTTCTCCTCTGAAATTGCCAACTGAAGGAGCAGAACTTTGGCCTGTATGTTTCTCCTAATGATGGCATCATAATTTGTTCATATCATTATGTTTAAGTATTAGTTTTGTTATCAGTATTTATGCACAACTGTTTTTAATATCAGTGCCGACACCAACTTTTTGTTGAGCTGTTGTCATTGATGACATTTACACTGTTAACTACATATATGCAGATGATCTAAAGTGCCATGACACATTTTTATAAAATAATAAGTATTATGTGCTTACAGTTGATATATTATGTGACATTTCTTTTAATTATTGAAAAAATATTTAAATATTTCTTTATGTGTATGAAAAATGAATGTAATAAATTAGAGTATGTTAAATAAGAGCTTATAATATGCTGATGGGGTGTTCTTTGTGTGTGTAGAAAATAGCAGTCATGGATAGAGAGGGTATCCTACTTAATGCATCATAAATTTTTTCTCTTTGTAGGAAATGTATGTGATTTATGATAGGTGTGTAAGAGACCTGAAGACGCTCTCCCACCTTCTTTTATCACATCATCTGTCATATACATATAATTTATGATTATGCTATGTCTGTTATCTATTTTGAAATAGATATATGATACAAAGTATTATTAAATGGTAAGCTGTATATTTTCAAAATGTTTCTGTTCATGACACTATAAATTTCATTGTCAAGACATAGAAATTGTTTTTTTTATCCTAGGACCCCCAACAATTAAAGGTGATCCAAGAATGACACATTTTGACACATCCACGGGTGACCAGTTCCCAGGAAAGTGGCAACCCAGAGTGAAGCCCTTCCCAGCTGTGAGTTGTTTCCCTTTCCTTGTATTTTACAAAATATCTCTTCAGCATTGTTTAACCTCTTTGTTTTTAAGTCTCCAATACTTCTATACCAATTTTCAGCATCAATACACTGCGGTTTATCAAATAAATCATTCACTTGGAACCCAATTCCTTTGTGTGATTATCCATCTGACAAGATCTTGAATGGGGGACTGCTTTTTACATCATCACTTTTCTTGTTTAAATCTACAGCCAAGTGTGTACAAAGGGACAGTATGTTAACAGTTTATTGTGTTTTTAAATCATGCATGAACTATTTTCCGAGTGTAACTTCACATGCCTGATTCAATTCTCAAACCAAAACAATAGAGCGCCACACAGCGCAGTCGACAGCGCAAACACTGCACAGTAAACTGGCTTCAGTCATGTTTTTCTTTAGAAGCAGATATATAGAAGAGACAGCTTGTGGGTTTTTCTGACATATGAGTATTAAAATGCTTATTTCCAGCTTGATTCAATGAGGAGCCAGTGTTTATCAAAGCCTGTATTACAATATAAATATAGCTCAGTTATGTGAAGCCAATCACTCTCCTACCCAGAGTTCCCTGCGGCCAGCCTAGTACCTCTGTCACAATTTACTCAGTCCATTCATCTGTTTTTCATCCGTTTCACTTTAGACATAACATAACTTTCCTAAAATATCCTAAAATGTAAAAAATCTATTTCCATTTGCATATTTATCTTCCAAGTGCCTTATTCGAAGCCCTATGGAGAGCTAACGGTATGGTCACTTTGATGTGTAAAACAATATTGTCATGCACCTTATTGTCGCAGTTGTAGTAGTAACTATAGTATGTCTATACAATTATACAAAACAATATGTAAACAGTGTTCGAAATACCTGCCTGCCCGACCGTCCGAGACGGGCTGATTTCAACTTGGGCTGCCAGATTTTCAAATCCCCCTGCCCGACGGTCGGGTTACATTTCATATGTAAAAATATTCTAAATATTTCCCGATGATAAGCATTACTTACATGATGTATTCAAGGATATTAAATACAAATCTGACCTAAAAAGTGTTTGCTATTTCTTTTCTTGCATTACTTCATGTACAATGAATTTGATTTAAAGTTTTAATTAAATTATCCTGAGAAACATATGATTATAGTGGGCAGGCAGGTTTTGGGTCAGGGCTGGCAAGTATTTCAGCTAGCCAGTCCTGTGGTCTGGCTGAAAATTTTGGGAGTTTCATACCCTGATGTAAAGCGCCCCGAAAGACTTGCAATATTCGCGTCTGTTCTTAATTCAGAATATGTGTGTATGTTTACAAACAAAAGAACAGTCTGGTCACATGACAAGCCTAACGACCACGTTGTGGTCACTGAAACAAAACATTCTGTTGGGGAATATGGCGTGCAGATCCTAGTAAGGTCGGGGGTTATTGGCTATTGTTTACAGACAAAACTTCAGAACTGTGATTTGAAATGCCATTTCATGAAGATAAGATAAGAACAAACTTCCTCCATACAGCCGACGGGTACCAGTGTACCTGATGGGGACACATTGAAGATCGTGATGCGTGAAACAACCACAGGACAATCCTTCCCCTACCGCGGTGATGCAAGCAGCTTTAAGCCATACAGCAGAGAGGCTGTGAGTAAGGTGCTGAACAAGACAAATCTCAAAGAGCATGATGGTTTTGGCACCTGGAACGACTACATCAGTACAGCCAGTACTAGCTTCAAGCCTAAAGACTCGAATTGTAAGTCAGAGTGAACACTTACAAACTTAGGCTAAAAAAAACAATAGTCTTGGTTCTCAGGCACCGCCTGCTGCATATTTCATTTTTATTTCCATTTTGAAAAACAAACGAAAAATCTAAATATTCCGCTTCTCGAATACACAACCTTTGAGTGAAATGCTACAATACTTAAGAAAAACATGATTTCACCACCATTATTGTAAACAAAATTTTGGCTACATACTAGCTGGAACAACCACCTAAAAAATAACCATCGCCCGTCCTCATTATATTTTCAAAAGCCATTGCCTGAGATCCAATTATTTTTTTTCCTGGCCTTATATGTTAATTATGTTGTGGCTTATCAAATGAGAATATATCAAATCAATGTAGTTTAAGATGGCAAAATTTATTTTTGTAAGATTTGTATCAAAGCATGTTCCATAAAGTTAAGTAACAGCACTCAGGAGAACTGACCACAATATTTTTTATGTTCCTGGAGGTATATGTGTAAAATAATTGTATGCATACCATGTAAATCCAGGTGGCAGATTTATGTATAGTGTGCACACTGTTCCTTTTATGTTTACACCTAAAAAAACACAACAAATATTGTTATATATAAATATGTCAACAATAATATCTTTACAGACCACGTTTTTCATCATTAACACACTAGACACGCTAGACGATCGTTCAGCACAGTAATTTACCACAAGCCCTGCCCAGTCATAATGCCTTACAGTTTTACAGTCAAAAGAATATAAAATAAAGGACTTTTCAGGTTGAATATTTTTCAAAATAATTGATCTATTAACCAGTTTAAAAAAAGTCTTGTTTGATATTTAAATCAACCAGGAAACACATTTTATTGTTTGTGTCAAACATTGATTTTCACCACAACAATGGTTTCAGTTGTAAGGTTTGTACCAAAGCAGTCCCGTAACCATAGTGATTTCCCCGAGGGTGACAGGCAGCCAGCCAGAGATGTGGAGAGAGTCAGCATGACCACAAACAAGTTCTACCATGGCAACGTGAGTGTGACAGAACACTACATTCTAATATTGTTTACTTGTAACCAAGTAATATAAATGACAAGGATATGATTTAAAAGTTCTTTTCATAATATGAGAGATATCCTGAGTGTATATAATTTTCTGAAATAGATATTTTTGGTTTGTTACGAGAAATGAAAGAATGTATCAAGTTTTCAGTGTTTGGCTTCCATCAAAATAAAACCATTAAGACTCATTCAGATGTTTAGATCTGCCGTTTGGAATTTAAGTGTGCCATCAAGAACAAGACTGTAGATCCACCATAGTAATATCATTTCACAATGATCTAGTTTGCCTCCTCCCTTCTCAATGAGGTTTATAATACACTTTCATTTCCTGAGTCCCCAGGGTTACTATGTGAACCAAACTGTCCGTTAGAGCTGGGAAGGGAAACTTGGGTACTCGCGCCGGGTGGGTACTGTGTAGGACCCGGTTACCCACAGGACTACCTGGACCCGTGGTTAGTCACGTGATATATTGTTTAACATGTTTAAAGAGAAAAATTCAATATAACTCCAAAGTTTACACTACAAGTCGCTTATGTTTGCATTTCTTTCTGACTATGCACACATTCCTTCTGACTTTATATGTTTGAATAAGGTTACAGCTCTGGTCAACTTTAGTGTATGCATGATCTGATTGTTTTATCCGTGTATCTAAATACTTTTTGCCAGTGCTCCGGTAAAAAATTCCCAGCTTTGAGACCTACAGAGGGTCCCCTGGGAGGGTCAGGTAATAGGGGCTCGGGTACCTGGGTTGTTTGTTTAGACTTGTCCCAGGCCAACTGGCCATTATGTTTGGTCATTTCAATGTGTTGTCCATTGGATTTTGCGTTCAGATTTTGATCTGATATCCGACTGGTCCCTAGTAATCAACGCTTGTCATAAACGTATTGGCTGGTCAGGCTCTGTGATTGGTTAATAGTGTGTGATCTTACCCGAGCAGCATGAGGTTTTGCTCATACTATCAACCTCTGGTTTGTTTGGTGTGACTATTTACAGGTCGCCATGATGTTGCTGAAATATTGCTGACTGCGGCATTAAGCAACATCCTTCTCTCATAACAGAAAACTTTTCTGACACCCTGTATTGGTCTGACAATATTTGTTTATAAACTGCACTATTCGATGATCACATCAATAACGTCTGCAAACGTGCATACTAAAATATCAGAAATATTGGTCCTATCAGGAAACACATCAATCCACGTGTGGCTGCATTACTCAGTCAGGCTTTTGTCATGTCTAGACTGGACTTTTGCAATTCTCTTCTGCATGGGTTGCCTAAATACAAGATTGCAAAGATTCAGCGTATTCAAAACCAATCTCATTAAAATCAGATCTTAGTTCTCGCTGTCGCTAAACAAAGATCTGAGGACATCCCATTAAGGTTCACGTCAGAACGACCTTTCATCCAACCAATCAGAGCGTTGGTTACCAGATCATGAAAGTGACAGTCGGAATGTGTTTTCTAATCGTGCAACCACGAAATATTTAACACGGAGTATTCCAACAGTTACGGGTTTTATGATTATATCCATACAATCTAGGCCATCTATAAGCCATTCAAGAATGTTCTTCTTATCAGTTTTAATTTTTTTAATCGAGAATATGTCAAAATATGTTTCGAAGCGTAGTCACCAGTTTGAAACTAGTGTCGTAAAGCCCGAGAAAGCTGCCTTCTGATTGGCTAATGTCGATTTCTTGTCGGTCATTTCATTGGTCGGTCAAAATTCGTGAAAGGTCGTTCTGATGTGACCTGTAATGGGATGTCCTCAGATCTTTGTTTAGCAGTAGCGAAAAATAGCATCTGATTTAATGAGATTGTTTCAAAAAGAAGCTGCCGGAGTTGTAACCCGTGCTAAAAAGTACGAGCATGTTACACCTGTACTAGTGGAACTACACTGGCTCCTGATCAGAAAGCACATCAAATTCAAAATACTTGTGTTAGTATACAAAGCACTTCATGACATCGGCCCACCTTACATCGGTGAATTGATACAGCGATATCAACTACTAAGATCACTCAGGTCTGGCAACAGTCAGCTCCTGTTTGTGACCCAAACCAGAACTACGTCACTTGGTGACCGGTGCTCTGCAATGGCCGGCGCAAAGCTTTGGAACAACATTCCCGATACAACGATGTCAAAGATACAACTAATTTAAGGGACTGTTAAAAAAACATGTTTCAATCCACCTACAATGCTCATTGAACTCTCACTTTGACCACCAGACTCATGCAAAAGCGCCTTTGAGCAGATCTAATCTGGAAATTGGTGCTAAAAAATTATATGTTTTACTATTATTATTATGATTACAGCCTCCGAGAGGTCTCCACAACCAGATCGTGTCTGGGGCTAACCTTGGAACCCGGAGCAACGTGTGGTTCGGAGACCCGGTGCTGGGACAAACGTCCTATTCAACATCCACAGGTGATGTCTTCAATCCCAAAACAACGCCCTACAGCCATGATCGCACCAAGTTCCATCTGACTAGTGCTGTACCACTCAAGTACTACAGTGAGTTCATGCTACTTAATAATCTGATCGGCCTAAGACAGATCTCTGAGAACAATCACTTTAGTCAAGTGAGTGAATATTGTTTTATCATCATTATTCCAGCTATCTCATGGTGGCCTGTGCAGAATCAAATCTGCTTCGGGTAAACCAGTGGTTGATAGCACGAGCAAACCATTTGGGCTGGATGACACAGTCTGAAGGTCACACATTCCAGTTGGCTCAAGCAAGGGTCAGGTCGTAGTGGTACAGATGTAATAATGCTATTTCAGCATGAATCCGTATCCCCAATAATAGGAGAGTAAGTTGTGTTGAACAGTTTTTCAGGTATGTCACAGGGGCGGTCAGGTAGCCTAGTGGTTAATGCGTTCGCTCGTCACTCTGAAGACCCGGGTTCGATTCCCTACATGGGTACAATGTGCGAAGCCCATTTCTGGTGTCCCCTGCCGTGATATTGTTGGAATATTGCCAAAAGCGTCTTAAAACCAAACTCATTCACTCAGGTATATCAAAGCATGTCTGTTTGTTGTTTAACGCCACACTTCGTCACGATATGGCTGAGATATTGCCGATGTGACGTTAAGCTTTAACTCACTCACTCACTCACTTTAACGCCACACTAAAAAATATTCAAGCTATATGACGGCAGTCTGTAAACATGGAAAATAATCGAGTCTGGACCAGATAATCCATGAGCATCGATTCCACACAGTTGGGATACAATGAGATGCATTAACCAATTCAGCGAGCCTGACCACTCGACCCCGTTAATCGCCTCCTACGACAAGCATAGTCACCTTGTAAAGCAAGTAGGGGTTGCTGAAGACATATTCTAACCTGGATCTTCACAGGTCTCACAGCAAGTCAGACACCTTACATGTTACAACCAGGATTTTGAAAAGTTGGGCAGTGCACATATTAAATAGGTCCCATGTCACCAAGTGACTTGGCTAAGGACACAGTTAACATGGGAGGCGTCTGAAAAAGGAGGGTGCAAACACCGCTCTGGAACTGCCAGTGTGAAACCCATGGGTACAATGGTGACAAATCATATTCAGGGAAATCTGTGAGTCAAACTCACATTTATTGGATCCTGATACCTCTAGGTAAACAGCTAAAACAAGGGTGGTGTCCTTGCCCCTGAAATAAACATCTCATCTTTTGATAGGACACTGACTGTTTTGATGTGTTGTCATACCAATAGTATCTGATATTACAGCAGAAAGCAGGTTTGGCTTCATTTCATGTTAATTAAACAAACATTCAGATTCAGTAAGTTGTTGTCCACAATTTTCTTACAGTATGAAAAATGCCAGTACCTGTATCAGTTGTTGAGTAATATAATATTACTGATATGAATGACAACTCGATGACCTGTTGTCTCAACAGGCAGCTGGCAGTCTGAGCCGACAACTGTGAGTGACTACCAGGACCCCAAGCAAGGCAAGACTGTCCCACAGGAAGAGTATCTTGATAACGTAAGTCTTCTGGGGATTATTCATAATCTGAACAAACAAACACAACCTCAGAAAAGTTATTTTTTTAATGGCTTGTGCAAGTCACTAGTCTTCAGTGTTTGTTGTTGGTCCTTGAAGAAGACAAAAAGTGTTTACGATTTCCATTTTCTGTCAGTTATGTTCACTTCCAATTTGTAGAAAAATTGAAGCATTGAGAACTGGTTCAGGATCATACCCCTCAAATGTTACTTGTCAATGAGGACTACCACAATTGGATTTTTACCTGATCTAAGCTCGATTTAGTAGTCTCAGACTTGCGGACTAGCATGAATTTTGAAGGCTGCTAACTCCACCATCCCCCAAAATAACTGTTTTCTATCACCTGACCTATTTTTATCATCGTGTCAGACATAACATGAAGTTGATAATTTTCATAAATTATCCTTTGTATGAAAAAACTCTTGTGTTTCGGACATGCAGGCAAAACAGCAACTCTTGTTAGAAAGCACTTTGCAATATGTAAAAAATGCATCATTACAGCTGTATTATTTCACAACAGTTGAAGAAGTCTCACTTCTTCCCCCCGCTGAAGGAGGCCATGTTTTTCCACACCACTCACGGGGACCTGTTTACACCGAAGACGTCCGAGAAGTATAGCTACGACTCGGGGAAACTCCAGAAGAGCTCCGTCCCTCTCGGTACAATGCAAATGTCTGCCAATGTCTGAGACATGCTTTCAGTGACTGCTCAGATAGGCACTCCTTTAAAATGTCATTTAGTGACGTACTTGTATGTTGAAATTCAAGGCTTAGTTTGTTGATGAGTCTATAGAAACTATACTTTAAATACTACCGGTATATACATTGTACCTGATAAAGACCTTTTTTATAACTGTACAGCTACATGACATATTTTTCATGTAGTCTAAAAACTTTTAAGTTTATATACTTTACCATGTTTATTAACTCCTCAAGAGAAGTTAAAGAACGACCAATTCTTTCATATTGCTATAGTTAATCTGTCATGGCATAATATACTACTCAAAAGAAGTCAACAACAACCAATTCTTTCATAGTACTATAGTTAATCTGTCATGGCATGACAGAGTAACTATAGTAATATGAAAGAATCGGGTGTTCTTTATGTTGTTTTGAGTAGTATATATTCAGAATATTCTGTGTACTTTATTTTATATTTACCGGCACCTTGATGAGATCTTTCATTTTTAAGAGATGTATTCTTATAGATCTAAACAATTAATGTAACAATTTCTGTTTTGATGACACCAAATTATGGGAATGAACCAAGGATTGTGATGTAACAAACCAATGGGAAATGAACCTTGCCTCCCTTGGGAGTAGAAACATCGCCCATTAACATCGGGACTTGGTCATGGTGGCTTTTTATGCACAGTTTTCAGATATTTTTCGTTGTGCATGGAAAGAGAAACATGGATACAAGGATTAAGAAGAAAGAACCAAAATGGGGGGCATGACCAGATGTACAAATATACTGAAATCCTAGCATCTCAAATCTTCTCCCCTCAGAGGTTAAAAACTGAGTGATCCACGACTCTTCCAGGCTTAATGAAAGTCTCACTAAATCCACAGTGGCTACAAGGAATGATTTCCTAGTAACACTATAAACTACACAATAGGTGTCACTGAGCACATCTAAGCACTAAACAGTACAAGTGACGTGTGAACTACTTGGCTGTGCTTCCTCAACCCAGCAGTATTGTCTACATGAGCTCTTTCATAGACTGGTTGCTTACAATTACAAATTCCTAATTTTTAACTCGCCTGCCATTTCCTCAACAATACTGTTCAGATGACAGATGAGGCTGTAGATGTTAATACCTATCACTTCAGTAGGCTTGTCTATAGGTTTTACCAAAGTGAGCCATTATTGCTTACTTCACAAGTTCCTGCAGCATGTTCTTTTTAAGAATGTTTCGACCTGCGAAGACATGGCTGATTTAATCTTCAAAGAATTCATTATTTCATCATTTAGAATTGATAGTTGATTTGCTTACAGTATATTTCTATGAGTGTGTTAACATCCAATGAAAATCTTTGTCACAATTCCATTTGTTAGTTGCTTAACCAATCAGTATTTTTCTGCAGTGTTCTCATCCAATGAGAATGAGTGGCATAATTCCATTTTTTTTCTGTGGAAATGTTATTGGAATATCCATGTTTGCTCAACCAACCAGTATTTAACTTCAAGTATTCTAATAATGTTGCTGCTGTGTGATTTGCTCAAGATATATATATATATATATATATATTTAGAATACATTTATTTATTACACTGTTTTTTTGGTGTTAATATTTCAATGTGTGTTGTGATGGATGTTCCTCTGTTGATGTTGATGTATATTTAAGCTATGAGGTTAAGTCTATCAACCAATTCTCAGTTGTGTAGTGTCTCTCAAACTGTATTGGTAATTTGGTATGCTTACACTTTGCTGTCCCGGAGAGCACTGCACTGGAAAAGTGAAGTGTTGAATTATTCAGTGTAGGGTCACATGTAAATGTGTTAGTGAGTGAGTTGGGTTGAACGCCGCTTTTAACAGTATTCCAGTTATACCATAGCGTGTCAGCTTAATGTGGGAGGAAAGCCCGAAGTGATGCAGGTCTCCGATGTTTACCACTTCGGTGAAACCCACGAGCACGGGTATGGTGCTGACAAACCTAGAAACATAATTGGGGAGAACCGGGATTCGAACCCACAGTCATAGGTTTCTGGCGTGCCAAAGGGACGTAACTCTGCACAGTGAATCGCGGCGCCTTAGACAACTGGGCCAGCCAATATTCAATAACATTTTTCTTGTTAACAAACAGTAACATTTGTTTCAGTAGAAGTCCTTACCAAAGTGATCATAATACCGTCAGTCGAAGCATACAAAAGTAGAGAGTTTCATAAATTTACCATCATGATGATGCCAGTATTATTTTCTAGTCAATTATATAAGAATGTGATCAAGGTGAGTTTTACTGATCAAAACATCATTTACAGGTAAAACTGTCTATTTACATGCCAGTATTACATATTTACATTATTCATTTTACATACAAGTATTGATGACTAAATATTTTTACAGTGTGTTGTGTTTGGAAAATATTTATCAGTTGGAAATAAAGATATTTACCTGCAATGTATGCATTTGTCTTTAATTCTCAGAACTCATGAAAATACTGTCAGACAAGAACTGTTTCTGGTGATGTCATTCTGGTCATGTTCATAAAATGTTGATTTTGAAATTTTAATAATGATCCAACATGACATGTGTTTCAGTAGACTCGGCAGATCTAACATGATCATGTCTTTGAATGGCACTTATAAAAAGTGATACACATCAAGCAGGGAATTTATGGATGTCAACTTCTTCATTATGAGGAACACATTTCGGAGTATGTACTTACTCTTCATCAGGTGAATTAATGCTATGAAGCAGAGAAAATAATACCCCTCTATTGTTTTAGAATGTATCTGGATATGTAAGTCTTCCACTACAGGTAATTACATGATTCTTATCAGGGATGTTCCATTAATCTGATATAATGTCTTCTACTTCATGTAATTAATGATACTTATAGCTAACAGGGATGTTCCACTATTCTAAGGGGGGAGAAAATCATACCCCATTGTATGTTAGCACATTGGGACTGTAGGCACAATGGGATGCAACCATTTCCATTGCTATTACCTATCAGTGCTAATTACCCCCTGTCTCCCATTTGCCCATTGTCTATTAGACCTGTGAAGATCCAGGGTAGAATAGGTCTTCAGCAACCCATGCTTGCCGTGAAGGATGACTATGCTTGTCGTAAAAGGCGACTAACGGAATCAGAAAAACCAGTGATTGACATCATGAGCATCGATCAACTCAACTGGTATACTGTGACATGCATCAACCAAGTCAACGAGCATGACCACTTGATTTTGTTAGTCACCTCTTACAAGAAGCATAGTCACCTCTTACAACAAGAACTGGTTGCTGAAGACCTATTCGAACCCAGATCTTCATTGGGCAGATAGTTTCTTTTAGGAAAAACATTTACGCAAGGTATATTCATTTCACATATATATGGATTTAAATCTTATGAAAATAACTATTTTTATCTTTTTTTCATTCATAATTATCCTTTTTATTTATTTTTCCACTGTCCAACAAAACCTTTTGAGGTTAACTCTATTTGGGCCAATCTCAACAACTCAGTTGCAAAATTTTCACTTCAATAAGACTATACCACACAGAGGAGGTTATTCATCTCTACTGCGAGTGAATGAGTTAGGTTTAACGCTATTAATAGTATTCCAGTTATATCGCGGCGTGTCAGCTAATGTGGGATTGGTTTGGTTTGTTTGTTGTTTTACGCCGCACTCAGCAATACTCCAGCTATATGACGGTGGTCTGTAAATAATCGAGTCTGGGCCAGACAATCCAGTGATTTATATCATGCGCATCGATCCACACAATTGGGATCGATGACATGCTTCAACCAAGTCAGCGAGCCTGACCACCCGATCCCGTTAGTTACCTCTTACAACATGCATAGTCGCCTCTTACGGCAAGCATGGGTTGCTGAAGACCTATTCTTCCCCGGATCTTCACCATTGCTTACTGTGGGAGGAAAGCCCCAAGTGATGCAGGTCTCAGCCATTTACCACTTCAGTGAAACCCACGAGCACGGGTATGGTGCTGACAAACCTAGAAACAAAATCGGGATGAACCGAGATTCGAACCCACAATCATAGGTTTCTGGCGAGCCTATGGGACGCAACTCTGCACAGCGAATTGCGGTGCCTTAGGCGACTAGGCCACCCATGCCCCCCATCTCTTCTGCGAAGTCTTAAAAGTATGCCCATACTTAAATCATTATTGAAAACCTGCATGTGAAATACACAAGGCCAGCAAGACTTCAGACGATGTGACCAACATTCATGATCACATGATATCACTGGATTTTGAAAAATATAGTTCAAAAAGTGTGTGAACGCTCAATTTATATAGAACACAAGACTGATTAATCTACAAGGTTTATTCAAACAGATACTATTTCTCACAAGTGCATAAAGATTCCAAACATCGAAACATCTCACAGATGACAGGAACATGTGCACCTCTGTCTTAAACTCAGCACTTTTTTCTCATCCCGTAGCACAGAACAATGCAGTTTGTCCCTTTCAAAAATACCCAAAGCCTACACAGTCACACGTTAATGCTTTAACTTTTCATTGACAGCTAAATACTTTTGCCTGTAGGAGCAGTGAGCGAAGAACTCTTCTGAGGATGGCATAATGAATCGGTTTGCGATGTTGTGGTACACTGGCTCCCCCCAGAGTGTGCCCGTCTTCCAGTTGGGCACATCCTTCATCAGCTCGTTCTCCTCATCTCGGTTAGCCCGCAGCTGCTTCAGGAACCTGGAGGAAGAGTAGTGAGGGACGTTAGTCAATGCAGGAACATCCACTACTACCTAGTGTATCACATCTCCATCATATTTGATAAATACCTTGGACCCAATTGCTACCACAGCTTCAGCTGAAGAAAAGTTGCAGACAGGTGCAAATTAGAAACACCCAAAACAGAGTTTTAGCAGAATTATGTCTTAAAAAAAGTTCACTTATTAGTTCAAAACAAACCAATAGAGTGGACCCTTGGGAGGCAAAAATATATGAAATGCCCAAAGAAAAACATAAATACCCAAAGTGAATGATAAGATTGAGTAAATACTCAATAGCTAAACACATTATCTGGAGCCCTGCACTGATCACATTTTAGTACATGTACTCACCGCCAAAAGAAACATGAATACCATACATGTTGGTTAAATATGTGAAGAATTACTCATATTCAAGAGATATTAGATTGATCCGATGCACAAATGAACATACTGGTATATTACGTGAACCAACGCTCATGAACGCATCACATGTGACGACATAGATTCATGACTCGAGATGCACCATTTGTCTCGTGCAGGATTAGTGTGTAAAGTTTGCATATGGCAGCATATCATGATAAGAATAAAGACACTCTGTGGTTACACTTGACTTATTGTTAGTTTTGTCATCTCTTCTTAACCGACATACTTCTCTATATGTTTTGCGTTTCTTTTGGTGGTGAGTATATTCAGTAGACATATGATTTAGGTTTAAGGCCACCTGGTTGGTTGGTTGGTTGGTTGGTTTGTTGTTTAACGCCGCACTCAGCAATATTCCAGCTATATGACGACGGTCTGTAAATAATCGAGTCTGGACCAGACAATCCAGTGATTGATATCATGAGCATCGATCCACACAATTGGGATCGAAGACATGCATCAACCAAGTCAGCGAGCCTGACCACCCGATCCCGTTAGTCGCCTTTTACGACAAGCATAGTCGCCTTTTACAGCAAGCATGGGTTGCTGAAGACCTATTCTGCCCTGGATCTTCACAGGTCTAAGGCCACCTGGATAACTATTGTTGGACTGTATAGGATAATTGAATGTTGAGACTCTCAGCATTGTTTTCAGCATTAGAAATTGGCACTAGTCCTATAGTCCTTGCCAAACTGCCTAATAGTTAAGGTATCATAAGGACTAGTAGAAATTTGCAATTATTAAGGGATTTGCTATTATATGTCATCATTATAAGGACTTGTGGACTAAAACAGTAAGTTTCTTTTGCTGGTTTTAAACAAATGTTTATGTTAAATGTTTGTGATCTTATTTTGAAACTGAAAATATTTTTGAGGAATAATCATGACAATTTTGTTTAGAGTTAAAAACTTTAACAGATACGGTGAACAAATTTAGCCAACTAGAACACCACAACACAATAAGTACTTACAGTCTTTGCTGTTCTGCCAGGAGGAGGGGTACAATGGCTAACCGTGCCTCCCTCATCTCAAGAGCAAGCTGGCTGTAAGAAAAACATCCTGTCATTAAGTAATATCATAGTATGTGGCTAGTGGCTAGTATTGTCAGAGGATATCACCCATAGTTGTAATGTGACTTGTTATTTAAGTTTCAATAAGAAAGATTGGATAGCTTAAGGAAGTTGGCCATAATTTGATGATTGAATCAACAACTAATTATGTGAGCTGGATGTCACTGCCAGGCCGGAACTCAAGGATAGACTTTTTTTAACCATGACACTGTAATGTCATAAAAATGTCCTCCCAGTCTATTATGTTCATATTTTCATAGTGATGCCATATTTCATGTGCAACTTAGGACTTTTAAATACCACTTAAAACAGACAAGCCTTACATTTCTTCAACTGACATTACTGACATTATCAAGAGATTCAAAAACAGTTATATATATCAGAGCTCCAGATAAGCTTTTGGTGTTGTGGGTATTTTACCCATGCATTTTAAAATCATTGGGTATCAGTAATTCTATCTGCGTATTCAAATTTCTGTTACCCACTAGTTTTGACACATGTGGGTATTTAAGTTAAATATTTAAAAACACTATTCATCTAGTCCCTGCAAACTGGTGTCGTGTGGGTTCGAGAGCTTTATAGGACTAAAAAATACCACGATACTTCCACAAGAAAGTGTGATGGCAAATGATCATGATCTGACTGTCATCTTGGAGTTTGGCAAGGTTGACGGAATGCCAACTTATAATTTCAAAATAAGTTGCTCATTTGCTAATCGAATACGCAGGGTTACTTCACAATATTTTGATGATACGCACAAGTTTTATTTTTGTAGCGTATCTGTAATGTTTGTTGCGTATTTGATACGCTTGGATTATATTTTACTGCGTATTTCCGCATTTCTGATGCGTATTTCACGCAGATACGCAGCTTATCTGGAGCTCTGATATATTAATGCTAAATAGAAAACATATTTGTGATGGTCACACAGGGAAGATGCTGCCATTCTCATGAATATCTGTGATAAGTAAGAGCAAAGAAGGTGCCTACCTGTATAGAGATGATATGTAATGACATATTTTTAATGGGAAAAAAGAAGTCTCCAATCACTCTTGTATAAAGTACAATCACAACATAGAAACACTTACTCCTTTCTTCTTCGTTGAAAGTAATATGCTATCCAGGCTGCTGATGTAAATCCAATGAAGATACCAAACTGTGCATAACCTGAAATCATAATGTTGAATGAAAATACAAGAGTCAGTCAATGATGGCTCAGAAATGTCCATGTCCTACAGACTGGTTTATGGTACCGGTAACTTAAGTTCATTAAAACATGTGTCCACCATAAAACCATCCCATTCCCTCACTTAATGATTTATCAAGCCAGAGTGAGTGAGTGAGTGTGAATGGCATAATGCCAGTATTTTAACTTATATCACAGCATGACAGCTTGATATGGAAGGAAAATCTGAAGTGATGCAGGGTTTCATGGTCTCAAGATGCTTAAAGGGGCACTGATCTAAAGCAATTGCCCAGGACTGGTTGTTGCCTTTGTTATTGTTTTTTCCCTGTGAGTACCCGGATGATCATGATGATACGCAACGCAACTGAGTGTGACCAGAGACTGGGTTACCGTCTGCAAGGACAGCTAAATAAACTTGGAGGCAATATTTGTTTTACCCATTTTTGAACACTGATTGGTTTACCGTGATCTATGAAGATTTCGACAAAGGGCGCAAGTTAATTAATTTCTTCAGCCTCAACAAACAGACAACAAGAACGGCGGAGCTCATCGGATGTCGCCATTTGGCAATACCCCTGAATGTTATAGTTTAATAACAAAAAAAAGTATCCATGCAGTGAAAGCATTTTCGGATTTCGGATTGCGTCGCAAATACGATGACTACTCCCTTGTTGTCATCCACGTTTTCTGGTATAACCTTACACTTGTGTATTTGTCGTCATTCACTTGATGCTCAGTTAATGAATTTATTACAGGTATAATTAGTGGTAGCACCACTCAGAATACCTGACAAATGTTCCCATTTGGCATTTATTGTGTCTGGGGTAATTATTCAATCTAAATCCAGGTTTGAAGTGAGGTGAAATGTGTGTTATGTAATATGCACGTGGCAGCCCAGATGAGATGAATGATCAATTGATTTACTTATTTGTAAATCAACGGATCGTTCCTAGTCATCAAAGGATTAACATAACATGGATTGATTAATCACTGTTATCTTGCACAGTGGATATGTCAAAAGTGAGGGTTTACATGTCTAGGTTTACTAAAACAAAGGGAATACACTCACATCATGGCGTGAAGTGCCGATGTAAATACAACATACTCTGTTCAAAGGGTTAACCGATAATAAGTTGATTGATTGCTCATTGTTATCTAACTTATTGGATTTTTTAGGAACCGTGGACGTTATGAAAATAGTTGTCACGTGGGCTTTCCTAGCCAACCTATGTGAAACACCTGAAACAATCTAAGTGATTAGTTGAGAAACGAACACGGGTTATGATATCCCGAAACGATATATATATTCTAAAATATTTGATTGTTACAGAGACATGTGACATCGAATAAGTTTCTTTGTACAGCTGCAGACGAATGGGATATTGTTCCTTTGTGTGGATATTCACGGATACATTCCTTGAACAAGGAAGCTGCCTAAATTTGGTAGGTTGTAATTATATGCATGTATATATATCAGTCAATTTCTAAAATGTGATTCTCTCAGGCAATTTATAAAATGTGTAAATATTTCTGTCATTTTGACTGAGAAATCTGTCCATTTCTTAAACAGATTGAATAAAATTTATTACGACGATCAAAAGGGCCTTAAAACATCACAATAGATTATTATGGTGGATTAGAAGTCAAACAATATAGAAATGTACTTTTCATCGTAACATTTTCAGTCTCTTGGTGATGATACTAAACTTATGATGATATTAAAATGTTTGGAATTAGTTGTCATAATAATACAGATGGACATATTTTTCAGTCAATTTGTAAAATAACTGAATATTCAGGCGTTTAATAAATTTCCTAAGTGAAACTTTTGCGCATTTTGATTGTTAAAATATAAACACAATAAAATAAGCAATACTCAGGAGAAATATTTACTTTGTGCTACAAGTCAAAATAGTGTAAACGAAAATCGCACAATTACCAAGCAAGTGACTTATCAAGACTTCATCACCATTACCGATGCTACCCACAAAGATACCTACATTTCCTTATTATTTCCAAAACTGTATTTCATTTTGTTGATCAATGTGACCATACACCCTTTTATTGCGCAGCACACGTCTCGAACTAGTCTAGGTTTCTGCTATATCACCCGGGTACTCACAGGGAAAAACAATAACAAAGGCAACAACCAGTCCTGGGGAATTGCTTTAGATCAGTGCCCCTTTAAAACTTTGGTAAACCTATGAGCATGGGTATGGTGCTGACAAACCAATAAACAAATAGGGCGAACCTGGATTCAAACCTGCGATTATAGGATTCTGACATGCCATACGGATGCAACACTGCACAGAGAATTGCGTCCCTTTACACAACTGGGCCACCCATGCCCATTTGTCAAGCTAGAAAATACCAATTCTTTATCACAATAATGATTGGCACCAAATGAGGATAATTGATGTTTTCAAACTACATATTGAGTTACAAATAAGGACTATTGAATCAAATTACGGTATGTATTTTTCAAGAAATGTCCATTTTTGTCGTTACTGTTAGGCCTAGTAGTATTCCTCATCGGCAGAATTGCTTGTTTTCACTTTATAAGTATTAGCACACACGCAGCTATCTTCGTTAATTAATTTAATGATTGCAATATTTCATGATTCTATTTCAAATGTCAAGGACTATAATAGATATGCATTTCCAAGTGATACACAACAGCAGCGATATAAACGTAGTTTGTATCTTGTTTGTTACAAAATCACCACGGACATATGAATACATGCTTACACTACTGTTGTGCATGTTTGGTTAGCTATAAACATGAGAGACGAGGCCCACAGGCATGTTAAGAGACCAGCAAAGTTATCTTTTTAAACAACTTGAATGTTTGTCTGCTAGTCTTACCTATCACATCCATATACAGCCCCAGAGATTATGCCACAGTTTTACACAGGCAGTTTAATTACGATGCCTTGAACAAGACTGAGAAATGGCACCAGACTATGGAACACAGTCCCTGTACCTCAGTCTGATCAGAATAGCAACAACAACTATCCAAGGGCATTAGGACATTATTGACGACACGTTTATCGATGCAGTAAAATGACTGTTCAAAAATAGAAGTACATGACATACAGCTCTTTATCGTTGCCTACCACTAAATCTGCTTTTCGGAAATTTCTTTGCCCATTCTATGTTGCTATAGCCCCCCGGAGGAGGCATATCTTGGGCATGTCCACTCGGCATCGTTTTTACTTGGAAGCCGCCAGGCAGCGCTGCAGCTAAGGGAGACAACTCTCGTTTGGTCTCTTGAAACACCGAACATCAAAATATAAAGTTGGACGCACGCGCTGCTTTCGAGTAATACTGACAACTGATATTTAGATTTTTTTTAAATAATCGAAACCAAAACCAGTTATCTTTATAAAGAGTAATGGTTTTATGCATCGCCAAAGCCAAAGAAAGAAACCCATTGGTTGTTTTAGTTTTAGCTAAAATGGTAGACAAACAACTACGTACATTCCGTGGAATCTTAAATTTTCTAAGAAGTCTTCGGTTTATGATTTTAAAATAAAATCATCTTTGGTTCTTTGTAAAAGTAAAATGTCGCTTGCGAAAACGGCATAAATTGAAGAAAAGGACTATATGAACGTGAAAGGGGTCAAACGACCTTTCAAATACACAAGATATTCAACGATGGGATAGTTCTATGGGCCTATTTAAGAGGCCTAACATGGTGCTGTCAGATCACAATTATTCACAATGGCCTTTCGATGTGTTGCATGCGAGAAGAATGTCAGAAAAAATCAACATGCTATTTCATTTGACAACTGTGACCAGTGGACCCATCATTAAAGCATGTAAATATAAATCATATATTCTACAACATAAATCGTTATCAAAAATGGAGGTGCCGTTTTCGCCCGACAAATAGTAGCCGTTTTCGCCAAATGAGGTGCCGTTTTCGCCCAAGATGTATATACATGTGTGTACATCTGTGAACGTTCGGAATCCTGGGTGAGTAGACGATGCAGATCTAAAACCTCCCATCTTGGTTAGGAATCCAGTGTGTTAGTGTTTGCTGAACCTTCTTATGTTATAACTATTTCGTTAGTCGTCCAATGTAATATTTACTTTGGAGTATTCGCTTTTTTGTGAATAGACATTCATTTTTCGGCAAAAGGCAGTTACCCAGCTAACAAGGCATAATCGACAGTAGGTATCTTTTACTGAGTAAGGCACCTTCGAGAAGTTGTCAAGTGTGCATAAATTCATGAGTCTAGGGTCCTGCTAATAGACATACATGACGCCACAATGAGGACAGAGCCATTGGATAGGCAAATTATGCAAGAATGTCAAGAATGTTTTATTCAGTGAAGCGATGAGTCGTTCAACCCTCGACTTAATTATAACCTAGTGTCAACACGAGTCTTGAGTTACATGTATACAAAGACTCAACCCATTTCGATAAAAAATAAATGTTTGGAATTATTTCGTTAAAACTAATAAGGTAAAATCAAATATAACATCGAACGTACGCGTAGATTTGAGTTTTCTGCGGAAATCGTTTTATGAATTTTCTCAACTCTGTTCATACCGTTCTAATATCGAAACCTGTAAAATTAAATAATAACCGTCTCCTCACTGTAGTCTACAGAAACAAAGAGCTTACGCCGCTCGACCCTGGTTAGAGATAATACGTCAGTGTCTACTCCACCTTAATTATGAATGGAAGAAATGTGACGACATGGACACCTAACCTCGTCAGGCTTATGGGGCAGAAGGGGTCCGACATTTCGTGTCCATATACAGGGCTACTTTAAGAAATCTATATGTGTAAATAAACGCGACAAAACCCTTTCCATATTCATAAGAAATCTCTGCCAAAAGCAGGACCGATTGTACGATATATTATGAGCATGTGTTTCTGTATCGCCATTAAATAGTGATGATAAAAGGCGTTCGCGAAAGGGTGAGCGTATCCTGCCCCACCTGTGGCATCCGTCACAAACACATACACAGGCAAGTCAATTGTTCACCTAAAAAACGCGGGAACATATAGTAAAGTCAAAATAGGGAATTGCATCGGACTTCATTTTTTCACTGATGCGTAAAATTTGGAAATTAATCTCCACATGGTCACCATAAAACGTTTTGAAAACTTTACTGAGGCCTTGAATGTTGTAACCTTGATCAAACAACTTCTGAGCAAGAGTCGTAAGACGCTCTTTGAAATCTTGGTAGAAAGAGCATGCTCGACTGTATCTCAAAACTTGTGAAATATAAACACCAAAGGCTGGAGCTGCTGGAATATCTTGGGCCATGCACCACGTTTTGTAACAAAATCCCCACGGATCAAGGAATTAAATTTTCCCTTATGTTTGTCATGTGGAATAGTGGTGTACAAAGTTGAAAAATCAAATGTTTTGAAAGAATTGATCTAGGTTCTTTTCTGAGATTGCAAAAAGTCAAACAAATCCTTTGAGTTTTTGAGAATCCACATGGTATTAATCCCACTTTTCTCAAATACTTTTTTGTGAATATAAAGAAAGTCCTTCCTTGATTGTATTAAGGATTATTTACAATATAATCACTAATCCTGACTTCTCCAGTATGTGTCATTTATTTCTGGCCCCTCTGACTTTTTAAGTGACAATGCTTCCTACTACTAATTGAAAAACAATAAATAATATTACAATTAATAATGTCAAATTGAAGACAATTAAGGGTCTCATACAATTTGCATCAACAAGGGTTTATTTGGGGTCATTTTCTCCAAAACATGGAGCCATTTCCACTAAAATTTGGGGCAACTTTCTCCAAATTGTCTGGAGCCATGTTTGCATGTGACCATTTTCTCTATAACCCCAAACTTCACACGGTAAGTTCAACTCGTTGTGGGGTGAATCGCGGTAAATCGCTTGCAAGCGATTGGCTGTTTGCAAGGCACCCCTTATCATGTGATTGCGTTGGTCATGTGATCATGTGACTTGAGCAATATGGCGACGCACAGGGAAGTCATGGCGTTTGTAGCTACTTGTCTGCTTTTCCTTATTGCTACCGTCAGCTGTAAGAGGACGGTAAGACATTTTCCTTTTACCACTGTTACAACATTTGACTGTAGTGTGAAACTTTGGTGATAAGTGATGTTCTATTCTTTTGGTGTGAGAAATTACCTTGAGACGAGAGCTGTCATTGTCAACTGTTGTCGTTCAAATCAGCTGATCGCAGACACTTTGAAACTATTCCTCGTCGTATATCAAGTGCTCTTCCTTTATCGGCATCTGTTTACAGTTGTAATATTCATATGTCTTGTAAGTGTACGACACATGTGTAGACGAGATCAGTGGTCAACATGGTCAAGTCATGAAGTATTTGTAGCACGCCCCTATTTTTATGATTGTTTATTTGGAATAGAAATGCTTATATTTTGTTTTGACCCGTTAAATACCATTCTATGTTACACACGGAGAGACATGACAGTCCCTTTGATCATAGTGAATCCATCTGGAGTCTAGTCCATGTTGCTCCTTTCGGACTGGTAGTGTTGAGAATTCAGGTTGGATTCGTAGAAAAAACAACAAATAAAATTGGGAAGTAGACTTAGGACGCAAAGTATGGAATCCATTAATGAAGTGTAAGTGTGAAACTGTTGGTAGTACGTAATGCTAGAGAAACCCTGGTTAGGAGCTGTATGGCTGAGCCAAATGTTCTGTAGTCACAGTGTGAGCAGATAAGTGGCCTTGTCTTACCCTGTTTATTACCAGGGGTGCTTGGGTGGCCAAGGGGTCATTGCCACCATAAGCTGTTATGTCAAGTTTCTACCCTTCGCCACCTTGGACTTAACTCTCACACTAAATATGTGTGTGTGTGTGTGTGTGTGTGTGAACAACGTTCCAGCTATATGACATCATCCTGTAAATAATCAAGTCTTGAACAGACAATTATTCTGGTGATTGTTATTGTGAGCATGAAGACATGCCATTAACCAAGTCACTGAGTCTGACCACTCAGTTGTAAGTGGGGACCAGTTCTAACTCGGAATTCCCACGGGTTTCACGCTGTCTGATGATTGTGTTTGATAATTGTATTTGAAAACTTTAAAACTGCACCCCACGTTGTTGCAAAATGAATACATATTTCTTTACATTTTTATTTACTTATATGTAGCAAAATCTCTGCACTTGTACACATCAGACGTAATTCAAAATTAACATACCATTTTTATTAGTTTCAACAAAATCAGTAATGGTACTCTCGTGTCACTGGATTTTCTAGTTCATTGATCACTATATTGTCTGGTTTGTTTACAGGCTGACTTTGCCTGGCAGGAATACTGCTGTGCTGCGGCAGGCAATAAATACTTACTGTTTTAGCAAATTGTATGAATGGCAGGTGCTACTGGTAGGGCAGGACATGCTTACCCTTTTTGCGAACACCTGGTGTCATTTACAGTGGTCCATGCATATAATTTCGAAAGCTATTTGCCCTTTATGCCAAGTGGAATCTGTTTCTGCAGAAAATCTAGGCTGATTATTCTCTTGCATTGACAATTTTTAGTAATTTTGATCATTGTGTCAGATTGTTGTGTTTGATTTTGCAGGTCACTACTCAATTGAACTATATGTGTGATGTCCCAGAATGCAAGACTGGTGTCAATGGCAGTTTTGCCAACCTTGTGTATGTTCGGGCACAAGAAGAAAGTGATGTCCTGCATTATGCTATCAGCACAATTCACATACCAACAATTCTTGTGATTCACACACGAGGGGATGCTAATAGTAAACTGAATGTGGATTGGGAAAAACTAATGGTTGAAGATGAATTTACTAATGACTCTATTTCTGTCAGTGATCCAAATACAGTTGTCTACAGTTATGCTGTGGTTTTTACAAAGGTAAGATCAACGAGTGATATATATGTATTGTACTCACTTCTAGTTCAGAGATGATCCCGAAATACCTTTGAAACTATTTACAAATCATATGTTTTACCAAGTTTTGATTATTGCTGTCATATTTGGGAAACCTGGGCCCACTGGCACAAAGCGATCTTAGCGTTAAGATGATCCTAACTCCCATACTTTAACATAGGCTTACAATAGTTGTACTGCTAAGATCGCTTTGTGCTAGTGGGCCCTGTACTAATACTAACTGTACTGACCCATGAAGATCCGGGGTAGAAAATGTCTTCAGCAACCAATGCTTGCCGTAAAAGGCGACTATGCTTGTCGTAAGAGGCGACTAACGGGATCAAGTGGTCAGGCTCGCTGACTTGGTTGATGCATGTCATCAATCCCAATTACGTGGATTGATGCTCATGATGTCAATCACTGGATTGTCTGGTCCAGACTCGATTATTTACAGACGTTCGTCATATAGCTGGAATATTGCTGAGTGCGGCGTTAAGCAACAAACAAACTAACTGTACTGAACTTTTGACTTCATTTCCAGATTAGCTCCATTTTCCACTTTCATGTGATAAACATGTATGGATGTTGTGTATTCTGTAGCCAGTGTTGTATTTCCACAGCTTCATGAGTACAACGACACAGCCGATGCGGCAGATCTAAACGCCTACCCAGCGTGGAACAGCACAGAGCGGGTTGTGAGAGACTTTGATAACTTTGAATGGATGGAAGCTTCTGCAGTCAAAGGAGAGAAAAATGCTTTTGTTTTTAACTCAACTGTGTTGGTCAATTCAACCAATGACATGTTTGGCCATGATGCACCTCAGAACTACACTCCATCGCTATCCTTTACTGTAAGTTCTAGGTCAAGAATGGTACTGCAACACTATGTTTACAGTTAGGCAGTTATCTATTTTTTAGTTTATTTGCGGAATTTTGTTTTGCTCCAACTATGTCGGTATTTGAAAAAATAGAATGATCTGTCAGTGGTCAAATAAAAGTATAACTTAAAGCTCATTTAACTTTCTGAATCTCTTGAATTTATGTCCTCGATTTCTATCACAAAGCACATGTGTGCCACCATTTTCCTGCCTAGACGACTGCACAACCGAATATGTTATTGAAGGAACAAACCGATTTGAGATGATATTTCACATAAACTTCTATCTTTCTTTTTTCATACTGTCGGCGTTTTTTAAGAATTTCAGATTGGTGCATTTTTTATCTTATCCTTTTTGATCCTATGTGGAAACAAGCTTGAACAAAGTTTCCAGCTTCTTAGAAACTTTTCACCTGAACACATCCCAGCATAATCATAATATATTGTGGATATCGCAATGATATTTTTATCTTTTTAACTTTTTTCTATTGCAGTTCCGAGTTTTTGACGAGCAGTCCCGTGAATCAAGCCTCCCACATCTCCTGTACAACGAGAACGTGACTCAGTTTGACTTTACCCTTGACAACTTCATGCCCTCCTTCTCCATGTCCAGGTTTGCAGTGGAGCTCGCCATCATCAGCCAAAGCAAGAAGGAAGACATGTCTATTGAGGAGACCAAGTCTATCGATGATGAGTACACTCCAGGTGTATTCAGAGTAAGTGAAGCTACACTTGTCTTCTGCCTTACTCAGTTTGCACAGTATTGTGTTACAAAGCTGGGGGAAGGTTGGCCCAGTGGTGTAGGCTACCATCCATCCAGTGATCGAAATAGCTTGATGCCTGCTAGGAAAATGCCATTGACTTTTAAATTGGGTTTGTAAGTCAATACATATCCGTAAAGCTGGCCCAGCTGTCTATTTAAACATTCTACATTAAAGCAACACCCCAAACTTACTGTGTTTATTTTATTATTCTAGCTATTGTATTTTGGACCAACTAACAGAAAATGAAACTTATCTTCAGTCACAGTTAAGTCACGAATTTATTCACATTTACATCACATCATACGCCTATGAGAGTTGATATACTAATACCTAATACTAATTAGGAGATATACATACTGTGTTTTCAATGTGGAGCTAGGTTACCTGCAGATTTAACCACACTAAGTTGAATTAATGGAAGAATAATGATTGATGTGATGTTTCCCTTTTACGACAGAGACAAGAATCTCATGACCTGAAAAAGTTGACAGTCTGACATGGTACTGCAGTACTAAGGAAAATATCAGGTTTTTTCCATGTCACTCAATGAGGCTTAAAAAAATTAAAAGAATTGGCTCTCAGGCAATGGTTTTTGAAAATATAGTGGCGGGCGGTGTCTATTTTTTGTGTTGTTGTTCAGACTAGTATGTAACCAAATAAACAATTGTGTAAATCAACCTGGGAAAAAATGTATTCCTTGATGAGTAAAATATTGGAACACAGTATTGGACTACATTTGGACTTGGAATATTTAAGGTTTTTTTTGGTTTTTTTAAAAAATGGAAATAAAAACAAAACATGCAGTGGGCTTTATGATGATGCAGGCGGCGCCTGAGAACCAAGATTTTTTTTTTAGCCTGATTTAAACCTGGTATCTGACAAGAAAAGACACACATTCTTTCCATATTATATTTCACCTTATCCTGACTCGTACTAATTGCTTATCTCTTCTTATTTCCTGAAAACGTAGTGGAAACCCCCCTGTGCAGTGTTCCCAGTGAACAGAAAACATCTCACCCAAACGCACCCCTCACATGGGCATGCTCATCGGAACCACATGATCAACCATCTGAGTTGATCTCTCATTTTTGCCCCAGCTAGCTGGATGGTTTCTGTCTTGTGCTTTCTAATCCAAGCCATCCTTCATCATCTTGGCCCTTCTGATATATATTTTGGCTTGGAGTACCTCCCTCAGACCTTCCTCTATCATATTCAAAGATTATTTTCTAAATATGACACAAAATGTTTCTTCCCTGGCTTTTGAAAGCCTCAAGCCTCCAAGAAGAAGAAGACTACACCATCCCACCCATCAGATGAAGACTTGGGCTTCGACATACAAGATGAGATTGAGATAGAACTTCCTCCATCACAAACAGTCCCAGCTATCTCAGCCCTGACTTCATCCCCAGGTAGTCGTAGCACCTCACCTCATTGAATGGTGTTTTGGCGACAAAGCCAAAGAAGAAATCCCCAGCTTCATCTTCTGACACTGGCAAGAATCTTCAGTCCTCCTCCTCCTCCTCCTCCTCCTCCTCCTCCTCCTCCTCCTCCTCCTCCTCCTCGAAGCCGTCTTCCTCCGTGAAGTCGCACACCTCTGCAAAGTTTCACACTCCATGAAGCAGAAATCATCTGTGGAAGTTTCATGAGTAGCCTTTCTTCACGAACACCTCTGTGAGTGAAGATACGTGCACACAGCATACCACTTCCATGCAGCATGACGCATTCAAACAGCCTCTGATCTTCATGCAGGCTCAATAGCTCAAGCAGCCACAGACCTGCGCGCAACCACAGTCGACTACGAAAGTCGACTTTCATGCAGCCTGCAACAATCACGCAACCTTAAACGTTCGTGCAACCTTCTATTTTCTAGGTTTCTGGTTTTGACCTGTTACGCAACAGGTTCTAATGGCCATGCAACAGCAGTTGAATATTCCCTGCATGAAGCCCACTCTGTTGACTCATACGCTGAAGCACCTGCACAGCTGTCCCCGCTCTCTCCCATGTGTTTCGAGCTAGAAAATTGAAGAGAAAATAACGAGTGATAACCCAGGTCACATGTTTGGTCACATGTGGCCAGTGCGCATGCCCCTGTGCCCATGAGTCAGGATAAGTATGAATGACATTTCTATCATAAAACAATTCATTTTCAGATCACCAATTTGAAGGCCAGACCTAAAGATCAAGCCAATGGAGCGTTTGTTCAGTGGAAGCCGGTGTGTTACCAGGACACCCCTCGATCCCGTTCTGTGGCCACCAGTGTACAGAAGTATGCACTTGGGGACATCAAGAATGTCACCTCACTGCTCAAGTCCAGTCTGGCCTATGCTTACTTCAGTGATGACCTGTTTTCCATGAACAGCGCTACCACCAATGTGTCATTTGGACTGTCTAAGGATGGTAGTTACACCAAGACAAACTATACGTCATGGTAAGCAGTAGACTCCCGGGAGTTTGTAATTATTATTATTATTATTATTAATTTTAAATACCAAAGATAAATGTTTTAAATTGTCTTCATCTGTAAATCCATGCCCATGCATACTGGAAAATCTCCAAAGAAAAAGAGAGGCGTTTTGAATAAAGTTTTTATCTAAAAAATCACAATATGATAAACAAGGACACTATCAAAGTTTCTTCTGCTATTGAGTGTGTGTGTGTGGGGGGGGTGAGTAGGCAAGGGGTCAGAAGCGCCAGGCTAGCAAGCACCCGGTGCTGAGATTGTATCCTGCTTGTCACCCTGCTTTGGGATGAACAACATTAACAGGTCTTTACAGTGTTGTCACTACCCCTAGTGTACAGTACATACAACCTGTGCACTCAAAAGAACCCACTCATCCTATGGTAGATGACCAGATGGTGGAAACACGAATACATACATACACCCGAAACACGAGTGTCAAAATGTGTGGTGTCACCCTGGCCAAGTGACTTAGTTCAAATGTGCCTCTGTTCACCCAGCAGCCAATGGGTACCCGATATGTGAGGTGAATGTAAAAACCCTCTATCACCAGTAGGCGACTTGGGTTGGATACTCCCCAGGGAGTTGAGAATGATAACTGGAATGCAGAATGGAACCACTAGTCGGAGAAGAACAAAAACACATTTGAGCAGATACTAGTACCTGGATAGCTGCAGTATATAAACTAATAATTAAAATATTTGAATACTGCAGAATTATTGTTGTACTTTCTCACATAGTATAGTATTTACATTCTCCATGATAGATGTACATCGGTTTGAACATGTTGAAAGGACAGAAAACTATAGGCGTGATCTGAAAATTTGCTGCTGTACCTGTTGCATTGTAGTAGTGAGAAGATACGCAGAGACGTCGGTGGATCATGATTTGATACCAAGCTCACAACACTTGCATGTGTTCCTATCTGTGCTGCATACATCATCCTTTTCATAGACGATTTACAGTTGGCTGTGTTAAGAATGGTGCAATAGACATGATAGAAGAAAATACTACTACTAATTTTAACTACTAATGTTAGAATGTGTGTGACTGCGATGAATACTTGTATCGGGAAGTAAACGATCGCCCAGTTGGTGTATTGTTTAGGGGTGTCACGATTCACCAATTGTATCGATGCATCGGTAGATAATTCTCACGATACGATACAAGTTACATGTGAATTTATATCAATACGAAATTTTATTGAAAATCGGTTTCCATTTGTTTGTGTAATGATTGATTTTTCATTTCGAATTGAAATGTCATCATATTTTCTGAATTTGACACATACGAAAACTTAGTTAGTGTCTGACACTTGTTTGAATAAACAGAATCAACCTTTCCTAAGTATTATTATTTACAACATCATATACTGATAGTGATTAGAACACATTATTGTGAATGTGATATGTAATTAAAAAGTTTGCTTCTAAATTTGCACATAAAATGTCGGTATTGCTGTATTGAGATACGTATCGTAACTTAACCTCAAAATCGAGATACATATCGTATCGTGAGGTACCTGTACCATGACCCCCCAGTAATATCGTCCTAGCCCTATTGTACTGATGTACTTGTTGTATTGATGTATCTGTTGTATTGATGTACCTCTTGTATTGACGGACTTGTTGTGTCCCCAGGACAGCCAGTGTAGGCAATGGCAACCCACCTACTGACAAGGTCTCCCTCCTGGTCATTGGGGTCATCTCAGCTGGACTTGGCATCCCAGTTATCATCATTGTATTCGGTGGCATCTTCGTATGCATCAAAAAGCAGCGCAAGAAGAACTATCGCCATCTACAAGACGTCTCCTCCAGCTACCCACAGGTTAATTCTTAATTTCACCAGCACCAAGCACAGTTCAACCCTAGTCACTCAACACAGGACATCTCCCAGACAATTTTCTCATCCGTCACAATGCTTTACTGCAAGTCAGAGTTGGTCACGTTGAGCCACTGAGACAGTGGTAGTATCATGACATACCTGCACTGATTGTAAGATCACAGGACAAGGAAACTTAAGGATATGTATTCTATCATCAATGAACCCAATTATGAACTTTGAAAAAAAACTCTACGGTATAAAATAACACTGTATTCCCACCATGCCTGCAATTGGCACTCACCTTTATCCTAAATAAATCCCAGATTGTCTATCCTGGAAGAAAATAGTATTTTACAAATTGTACTATTCACATTCGTAACATGTCATTTTTTATGTTAATTAATTGATGGGTGATGATATATGTCATGAGATGGTACTTGTATCATAGCGCAAAGTAGCATATAGTTGCATATAGTTTCAATATCCATAGATGAGTTTAACAAAAGCCCACTTGACTAAAAAATGGTGAAAGTATTACGGGCATGTAAGCAAACAGGAATCGAGAACAGGTAGAACAATCAGAAACAGCAGACAGTCTAAGTAGGATAAGAAATAATTTGTAACTCAAAAACTCATCAGTTTATAAGAGAGACAGTATACATAAAAAAGTGTAATAAACACTTAAAATGTACACATAGGAATAGGTTATATATGTAGAATAAATTACCAAAGCTTAAAAAATAAGAGAATTAGTTCTCCGGCAATGACTTCTGAATTTTTTTTATTTTTTTATTTTTCAAACTAGTATGTAACCAAATAAACAGTTGTGTAACCTAAAAAACAGTTGGAATATTTAAGGATTTATTTTTAAAAATGGAAATAAAAATGAAATGTGCGGACAACTTATGATGATGTGGGTGGTGCCTGAGAACCAAGACTATTATTCATTTTAGCCTAAAACACAAGCAATAGAAATCACAACACTAGACACTAATACATGGCCACGTGGTGAAGACAAAATGGCGAGAACAACAAGACGCCCTTAATTACCGTGACTAGAGTCGCAAACAAGCTTTGTTGCCTGACAAAGCAGTATTGTGCTCTTATGTGAGTCACCACTTCCGTGTCACGCAGCAGTGTGAGGGTTTTGCTACAGTACCGGTTGGAAAAACCTCTGCAGCTAGGCCTCTCACAGCTTCATCTTTTTGTAAAGAAAACAGCAGCTAATGCATTAATGAGTGATGCAGAATAAGTATACAAATGTAAAAAATATTTAGATTTTACTAATTTACAGATTACTAACACAAACATGATAAATTAACTGTTTTAAATTTCAAATAATGTTCACATGGTTGCCAAGAGTTACCAGATTCGCTGAAGTATCAATGGATATTGAACATATATGTTTCTTTGTATCTAAGTATCTAATATCATTAATATTAGACAACTGTAAAATTGTTTTGAAGACAAAACTTATGAGAGGGACTGATTTTGTGTTTTTCAAATATATATTATATAGTTACCATGGTTACCATTTCCTCATGCTCAGGCCCTGTTCCTTGTGCTTGCATACATTTAGGGTTATGAGCCCGGCGTGGAAACAACAGTTTCTAAAAATAGAAAGGTTGTTAATTCATGCATGGTCAAAAGGACAGCTTAACATGTTTTTAATGATATGCTGACAGATGGTTAATAATTCTTCCATTATGTTTATCTTATCATATGTTTAATGCAGTTTGTGCAACACTGTGTGGCATTGTTACATTTGTACTTACACTGAATAATGAAGGATTGTGATTCAACAAAATATTGGTAGCATTCATATGTACATGCATGTCAGTATTAAAACAATGAAAATGGTCAGATTTTGCAACAGTACTGAAGTCGAGGTGACCCTCTTTTGATTTGGTTTACAGTAATGAATGTTGGACTTCTTAACAATGATCAATGTGACCTAACCATGTGAAATGATTTGCTTTCATTAAGCTTGTGCTGTTGGCATTATTATGATTATTGTTTTGCTGTATTTTTTACAGCTTAAAATCAAAGACTACTTTTGTGTGCTTTTCATGACAAATATGAGTTTGTTGATATTAACATCATGTCTGCAATATCTTAGCCACATAGCAAAAAGAACACAAAATATTTAATTAATCAAGGAGAGTGATTTTCATTTCTCCAATTTATTTTGTCATTTTATTGTATCCTATTGAATGTTAATATCTTGTAATAACATCTTCAGCATAATCTGGAATAATTTTTGTTGAACTGATTTGGAATTAGTCATGTTAGTGTCAATTGAGGCACATTTTTTCTCTTGAAATCGAGGCATTAAATATCCATGAAGCACATTTTTTCTCTTGAAATCTAGGCATTAAATATCCATGAAGCACATTTTTTCTCTTGAAATCTAGGCATTAAATATCCATGAAGCACATTTTTCTCTTGAAATCTAGGCATTGAATATCCATGAAGCACATTTTTTCTCTTGAAATCTAGGCATTGAATATCCATGAAGCAAATTTTTTCTATTGAAATCTAGGCATTGAATATCCATGAAACACATTTTTTCTCTTGAAATCTAGGCATTGAATATCCATGAAGCAAATTTTTTCTATTGAAATCTAGGCATTAAATATCCATGAAGCACATTTTTTCTCTTGAAATCTAGGCATTATATATCCATGCTGAAATGTAAATAAATACTAGAATTCCCTGTGCCATTAAACACCTAATGCAAGCAGAACAAAGTTGTTATCAAATTGATCTGAATCAGCCATGTTTTCTTTACATGCTCAGGTAATGTCCACCAATATGAGAGTTGGTTGTCAGGGATGTACTACTTCAATGTTTGTGCTTGTATACATGGCTGACGTCAATGTTGTGTTGTCCTGGGTTTTGACAATATTCATAAATGTGTTTGTGAAGTAAGTTGCCATGTAATTAGTATATGTAACTTTTATGACTCTTCAGCTAATACAACCCCAGATCCCTTTGCTTGTTCACCACAGTTACCTCCCTTGAAATACTATCCCATCGTACGACATTGGTGACTTCATTTTCACAGACAAAGTAATGTACTGTATGACATGTCTGTGTAGTGACACAGTGCTCCATGAGGATATACTTTGAGGTCATAATGATTGAGATAGTTATAGGGTTCGATTTAGCTGTATAAACATGCACCAGTACAACCTGTTATTGAAAAATGCAAACTAATATTTATATTTACATGCACCAAATGCATGTCAAAATCTTTCAAATTTGTTGCTTACCCTTCATCTCAATACAAAATCAATCTTTGAACACAATCACTACCTCTAAGCCTTCTTCTTTAAGTTGGCGTGATGAGCAAGGGAGATAGTTCTGTGGATATTCAACTTCTTTATTACAAAGACTGCAACGTTTCAGTGTAGATACTGACACCGTTGTCAAGCAAGTGATGAACAGAAATGAGGTTTTATACATGTGGGTAATTGATGTTTGTACAAGGTTAAAGGATGATAGATGATGTTTACACACTGTTGCATATCCAAAGACCTATCTCCCTCGTTCCTCTAAGCTTTATTTATCAAACTACATCACGATTCCCTTAGTTTTGAGTAATTTGTCATGTATTGGGGACCTTGACTTAAAACTGTGGAAACTTCTAGATTTTGTGCACGTTTCAACTTTGATAATTTTATTGGACTGGGGTGCATCTGGTGCAAGTTGAATCAAGTTCCTGAAATTGAGCCCTGAGCTTCCATGGTAAAAACTAGCTGTGCATGTTTTTTAATCAATCATTTTGTAAAAGGGGTGTTCTATATGTGATTGATACTGTAAGAAAAGGGTACTTATTTGCAAATTGCTTCAAGAATGTTTACTGGCTGGAATTTATTTTTATTCATTATGTTCTTAGTTGACATTCCCATTCCAATGGAAAGTAGTAGAATTTTATAGGGGGTGTCATTTTTGGTATTCTAAGTATGTGTAAAGTTTGTATTTGCATATGTGTTTTAGGGCAAATTAGAAAACAAGTTACTTTGACCCATGAGTGAATGTTTTATCTTACCCCATATATGCTTACACTGTTGACTGCTGGTTCAGGGTTTATCATTTTACAACATGTTTATAACCACCCCTGTTATATCTACCTGTAATAGTGTTGAAGTTATGCCCACTCAGTCATGATAAACACATACCATTGTACAAATGTACAAATCAGAGATACCTCTTCCCCTTCCAGACTTGGACCAGATCAGCCATGTCAAAGTGGCCTATTGTGGGAACATGCATAACATATCATGACATGATTCAGTGTGTAATATGGTGGCCCAGTGGTCTCAGGCCCTGCAGAGTTGTGTCATGGGTTCTAATCCCAGCTAGGGGGCACGGGTGGCCCAGTCGTCTAAGGCCCCGCGATTCGCTGTGCAGAGTTGCGTCCCTTGGCCACGCCAGAAACCTATGATTGTGGGTTCGAATCCCGGTTCGCCCCGATTATGTTTCTAGGTTTGTCAGCACCATACCCGTGCTCGTGGGTTTCACCGAAGTGGTAAACGTCTGAGACCTGCATCACTTCAGGCTTTCCTCCCACATTAAGCTGACACGCCGCGATATAACTGGAATATTGTTAAAAGCCTCTATCTACGCAATTTGGATATGATGACATACATCAGCGAGCCTGATCACCCGATCCCATTAGTCGCCTCTTGAGACAAGCATAGTTGCCTTTTACAGCAGGGAGTAGGTATTGAGTGCACACTGATCTAAAGATGGGCTAATTATTATGTACCTTTTTATGGGATCTGACTCATTATAAATGGGCATTTTATTATTGTTTCCATCACATCATGAGTCTGTTGTTCAGCTAACATGCAATGTCTTTTACTGCTGTACAATGCAAGAAACATTTCATTTCAATGTTTTGTAACTCGTTCCTTTTGCACATACCTCTGGTTTGCATAAAGGTTTGCTACAGATACATATTTATATTGTTTTCTATGATAAAATAGCTTTTTTTG